ATCTGCTACAATGAAAAATATATTTAAATATTAATATAAATATACTTAGATATGAACATAAATTTATATTTTGTAATTGTTGGTTCTAATAAATATGATAAAATAAAAAAATCCTCACAAATCAGAATGCCAAAATTGACGTCATGTAAACTTAAATATTACTATAATTTTTTTTTTTTTTTTTTTGTGTATGTAACATATATGCTAATCCAAATCAATGATTCTAATAAATCTGTTAAAATAAAAAAAGAATCCTTGATAAATAAGAGTTCCAAAATCGGCTACATATAATTATTTACATATTCTTTGCCTACAAAACCACTATCAACGTAATTAAAGAAAACCAAGAATTTATTAAAACAAACACAAATCGAAGTATTAAATATGCGTAGAATACTGTGTGATAATCAACTGATTTAAATAATAACATTGTTTTCCTTACATAAAGATATCAAAGTATTAAATGAATAATAAATTTTCTAATTGAATATCCTAAGGCAAGAGATTCTAAATTCCATATTGATATGGACCTACAAAAAGAGGACATTGTTTTGGATTTTTATTCCATATCATAAAAGGAAACAAAAATCGGAAAAACATATCTAATATAATTAGGCAATGATTAATGAAAGTTTTTTAAGTTACTATTTTTAGGCTATAATTAATGAATTTGGCGGGAAAAGATTACTAAAAGTGAATTATGTTAATCCTTATTATATATTAATAGATTTGCGATTAATTATTATTTTAAGTTAATAGTTTAATTATTAAAAACAAATTAATTATATAAATTTATATTAAAAATAAATAAAATGAATAAAACTATTCATTAATTTTCTGATTGTCCATTTCTAGGGCTGCTCATTCGGTCGAAACCGAACTGAACCGAACTAACCGAATTTTCGGTTTATCCATTATCATAAATGAAAACCGCACCAAAATTTACGGTTCGATTCAGTTGGGTTTTTAACCGAAAATTCAGCGGTCGGTTCTGTTTAATTTTCTCTTAATCGCAATAAAAACTTAACCTTCTCAATAAATTCTGAATTTTTAACCGAACAAAAAATTTGATGCTTTTATCACCTTGTTTAATCCTCTCAATAAATTCTAAATTCTCCTCAAAGGAAGATCTCGGACCCGAACCGTGACTTGGAGTATGACGTAGCCAATCTTGGGTGCAAATTAATGCTTGAGTCATTTTAAGGGTCAATTGAAACTTGAAAATCATCAATCATTAAAGAAAATTAATGTTTTTATAACTTATATGTGTTGATAAAAAAGCATGTATATATATATATATATACATATATGTATGTATAAATCAGTTTTCGGTTCGGTTAACCGATCGTAATTACCCAAACTTAACCGCAAACCAAAATTTTTAAAAAATATAAACCAAAAACCAAACCAAAAATTCGGTTTCGGTTTCGGTCGTCGACTCCGTTAACAAAATTTGTGCACCCCTATTCATTTCAATTTAAAAAACTACGATCACTTAATAGTTAATAATAGTTAATACCTAACATTGTTACACAATTGGTTAATAGAAAGTGCTAGTCAAATTAGATAATACCTAACATTGTTACACAATTGGTTAATAGAAAGTGCTAGTCAAATTAGCTAGTATAATCCGATATTAACTTTATCAGTTATTACAATCAGCTAAATATTGAAACAAAATAGTCAAATTAAATGACATTAAACAAAACAAAATTACATATGGGAAACTCTCAGTTAAATCTTAGAAGCACCTGCTGGGATTTTAGTTTAGAAGACCTGAAACTCTCAGTTATGCTTTAGAAGGACCTGCTGGGATTTTAGTTGCAGAGTTTCAGAATTATAGCCGGTTTGCTTCCTCAGAAAACAAAAATGATAATACAGATGAGCTTTTATTTGGCATTACAAAATTTTGTTCACTATTCAAAGAATTACAAAATACTTTCAATACATTGCTCAGCCAAGTATCAATAAACGTGTAGCATTCGCGAGAAGCTCTGATCAACTTTTCTACAAGTCTGTTTCCATTAGATATCAAAACACTCGGTTATCATTGGTTCAAAAAATTAATTCACAAAGCGCAAAATTTAGTGCCCGTCTCATCTCTCTACTCATAATTCCAGTTCTGATATATCTTCTTCTCGTGGCTACACCTTTGTTGATCCACCACCATCAATGTGTACGCGTGTGCACACACCAGTTGGGGGTACCCTTGCCCAACCTACAATATAACCACGGCCTTCATTTAAAGCCAAGCACGCTAATTTTTCACTCTTACAAAAGTTAAGTTCAATGTGACGCCAATTTACCCGGCACATCATTGTTAGCCACGGCAAGGAACTTTGGATTTCGCAAGTCTATCCATCAACATGTTGTAACTAGCAATATCAGGCAAAAACCCACTATCCAACATCTCATTCACCAAAACCTCACCTTCCTCCTTTCGACCTTCTTCGATACAACCTGAGACCAAAATTCTATACACCATAGCATCGGGATTCAAACCCTTTTTACAAGCCAACAACCGTAACTCATTTGCCTCCCGTGCACTTCCCGCCCCACACATATCACGAAGCACACAACTAAATGTCACAATATCCGGAATAATTCCATCTTCGAGCATCCTTCTCACTAAATCAACCAATTTCTCAATCATTCCCACTCCACGCAAACCCTCAATCAGAGTCGTGCATACAATCGAACTTGGCTTATGGCCTTTGTCCCACAACTCATCTATCAATTCTAAAGCCCTTCTCGCCTTCCCCTTGATACAAAGAATCTCAACTAGCACAAAAGAATCGAACTCTTTCGGTAAAACCCCTTTCCTCAAGAACTCGATCATCATGTCCGCTGCCTCCATTATTTTCCCCCTTCTACCGAGCCCGTCAACCAAGATCTCACACGTCACACAAGAAAAATCACATCCCAACTCGATCATCTCGCGTGCCATCGTGACTGCCCTGTCGGCCTTCCCATCCCGGAAGAATCCTTTAATCAAAGTGTTGAAACTAACCACATTCGGGAGGCACCCTTTCTCTTTCATCTCACCAAACACCTCCAATGCTTGATCGAATTTGTTACTCCTACAGTACCCACTAATCAATGTGTTAAAGGTGACTGCATCCGGTTTCACCCTGTCCCGGATCATCCTTTTGTAAAATTCCACTCCTTTTTCCACTTTCCCAAGTTTAACAAAACCTTGGATCACAATATTGTACAGAGCAACATCTGGCTTACCGTCGATTAACCTTCTCATGATATCAAAGGAATGGAGAGCGTCATCGAGTCGTCCGGATCTACAGAACGAACCGATCGAGACACGGAACATGGACTCGATTTTAGGGCAAGAGAAGATACCGTCCGAGCAGGGGCAGGGGTTGGAGGCTATGAACTCGAGGAGCGATCGGAGGGAATCGAGGCGGTCGGTAGAGGCGAGGGATCTGAGCATGTACTCGAACGTGTGGTGGTCGTGGCGGAACGAGTCGAGCGTCGCGGCGTAGCGGAAGAGGTGGTAGTCCAGATGGCCGAGGGCGGGGTTGTGTCGGAGGCGGGATCTGAGGAAGTGAAGGAGGTCCCTCGGCGTGACGGCGGCTGTTCTCTGTTTCATGTACGAATCGAAAGTCGCGGTGAGACGGGTTAGTTGTGCTCGGGCGGCGGCGGCGGAGGTGGATGGGTTTACGGCGGAAAGAGATGGCGAGGCGTCCGGGAGTCGGAGGGCCAGAGGGTGCGTTTGGTGGCGGTTCCAGGGTTCAGAGAGTTTTTTAAGGGCTGTGTTCCGGGACATGCCGCTATAATTGCTTCCCGGCGTAGTGGCGGTGGTTAATGGTTATCCCGAGTCGGACGGATGAGGAAAAAGGCTTTGTTAATTTCGTTTTCTTGTGCTACATTGCTAGTGTATGCTTATATTAAAAGTCAACATATTTACTAAAAATAGTAGCAAAAAAAGTCAACTCACATTTAATACATATTTCATTTGGAAATTTTTTATTATATGCATTAATTGCTTGATATATACATTTCCTATTCAAATATGATCAAAAAGATTTTTTCCTTAAATAATTTTATTAACTTCTGCAATGATTTTACTGATATATATTATAATTCGTATTTGTCGATAGTATTTTTTAATTTTTATTTGAGTATATAAAAGACAAATATTTTTTTTAAATTAATATTTTATTTATCATTTAAGAGACAATGACACATCATTAAATGATTTTACTGATGACTAGATAATAAATTAAAATACATTAATTATTCTTTAAAATTTTGGCATGTTATTTATTTGTATATCTATACTTATTATATAAGGTATCCTATTTACCAAATTTAGTAGATTGAAAAGTCAACATAATTAATGCATTGTTATTTCTATCCAGAATTTTATTTAATTATATTATTTATTTGTCTTATATCCCATAAAATCAGTTTAAGAAAAAAAATCCCATAACATCTGACAAGTTAAAAAAAAAAAGACGTAAAATCTTTACTAAAATAAAAAGACTTTATTTATTTGTCTTATTCCATATTAACATCGATTTTGTCAAAACAAATCCCATAAAATCAGTGAAGTCAAAGTTTGTACGTAAAGTCTATCTATACTAAAAAAAAGTCAGATTCAAAATTCTTTATCTAATTTTTTTCTTATCTAATTCCTTTTTATTATCTAATTGTATGAAAATATTTCTGATTTTGTTCAATCCTCTAATTGTATTTGTATTATATTCCATAAATCGGTTTAACAAAAAAAATTCCATAACATTCGATAAGTAAAAAAAAAAAGTACGTAAAATATTTACTAAAATAAAAAAGGATTTATTTATTATCTAATTGTATGAAAATCAGTTCTGATTTTATGATACGTACTACAAATTGTGCACCCGTGTTCAGGAGCTACTTAACGTGCAAGCTCTGTGGAAATGACTCATTTAGTGTTTCTGTCCCGTGCATACGGTATGTATTTTTGTTACACATACTAGAAGATTGTGCACCCCGTGCATCACACGGGCTCTGTACTAATAAATGAACTTACGGTGATGCACGGGCTCTGTACTAATAAATGAACTTAAAATTGTGCACCCCGTGCATCACCCTTATTCACATTTTGGTCTATTACAGGTCAAATACTATATATATCCCGTACATTTTTTTATTCATTCGTATAATTATAAGACTGGATAAATGACCTTAAAATTGTGCACCCCGTGCATCGCACGGGCTCTGTACTAGTTATGAGTAAAAATGTTGTTTTTTTTTTTTTATTTATTCATTTTTGAAACGTCATGTGTTGACACCCGAGTTAACCGACAAGAGACCGGACGGAGACGATTCTAAATGCCGGGCCTGGGACCCGGCCAAATACGCAAGTACCGAGCTGAATTACAAAACAAACCAGCCGCCACACCCATGTGACATCGTTCCCGAGGTCGGCACTCACATCGTCCGAGCGACGATGCCGATCTCGACAGAAGCCGAGCTGAAGGAGGGATCCTGAAGGCCTATAGAGGACATTTCGTTTGGGAGCCGACCTGGAAGCCCATTACAGCCACCCCGAAGATGAGCGCGGGGTCGATAATAATAAAATACTGCCACTTGGAAGATCATCATTGACGATTGGACCAGCCGTAATAGCATGTTATCCTACAGAATCTAGCCCGATAAAAGCCTGCCAAAGCATTAAATGTCAACCATGTATGCATTAAATGACTGACAGACAATGATTAAGAAAACCTCAAATCGCATTACATAACTGTCAGGGAGGCGCCAGACTGCTCTGCAAAAACACTGTACGACAAGACCGGTGAACAGTACCTGGACAGTACCACATTTAAGGATAATAGAAATAGGAACCCACTTCATTTATATTGGGTTGTTGAATCTCAACTAACTCTCTCTTTTCTTTATTATCTCTCTCTAGAGCTTGTAATAAATCTTTGGAAAAACCCCCAACTTAACAAAAGTGCCGACCTCTGTGAGCGAGGCCGACCTCGTGATTACCTAATAAAATCTAATTAAACTGTGTTTCTCTTCTTTTTCGGTTCTTTACTTTTATCAAACCTTATTTTAAACGTTGATCGGATCCGTCCATCAACAATGTTTATCAACTAAAACACATAATTACAACCTGCTACCCATGTAGGATTAGTGCGTATCCCGTGCGATGTACGATTAAATTATAGTAAATAATAATTATAAATTAAGGAGTGAGTAAGCAATATTAAATAACTATTATAAATTAAAGAAGTGGTGTTAACATGTGATATAATTTATAATATAATATTATCTTGTCCGAGATAACATAAAACATGTATGTTTAAAATATTAAAAACAACTAAAATATTATATAACATATATAAGATTATGTAAAATATTATATATTATTCTTAAAAAATTGAATTCACCTAAAACTTTTCTAAACTATTTTGTAACCAAAACATGTCTGCAAACATTAAAAATTTAACACATATATATAATTTAATCTATAGAATGTGGAAAAAGTTTATCCGAAAAACATGTTTAAAAGTACATAAAATATTAGAAATTACAAGTTACTCAAATAAAGGACTTCTGTTTGTCCCATTTTTGTTGCATTTTTCTTTGTTATTTTCCTTTCTTTTGCCCCCGTTTTAGTTATTTTCTTTCGCTTTTAGTGTGTTTTGTATTTTGTTGTGTAATTTCCTTCAGTTGGTCTTTTCTTGTGTTTTTAGTGTATATTTCCGGTTTTTTTTTTTTGTGTAGGTCTGAAGCTCTGGGAAGACTGAATTATGGGCAAAAGCTTATCGTGCAAGCATAATTAAATAGAGGAGTCCGTTAGCAACGCGTAGGAAAAAACGGAACTCAATTCCGACTTCGGACGAGCCCAAACGAGCCAAAAACGCAAAGTTGCGTTGCCCAAACACCTTAGCGGCGCTAAGGCTGACTTATCTAGCGGCGCTAGACCATGTTAACGACCCCAGAGACTAGCAACTTTCATCCCTTAGTGCTGCTAAGGGGGGTTAGCGGCGCTAAGGCCCCCTGCAGGTCCCAAAATAGTATAAAAACCTCAAAAACTCATTTTCTTCTCCATTCTTTGACTACCTCTCGACCGGGGGTAAAAACCCTAGGTCCCGAGAACACTCTCTTCTCCACCTTCTCCCTTCTTCTTCTTCTCCATCATTTTTCTTCTTCTTTTCACCATTATTTTCCAATTTTCTTCTTCTTCTTCTTCTTAGTTAGGGTTTAACCTTGTATTTCAAATTCAATTTTGGAACTTGGATTGATTGTAAGTATTTCTTTCTCTTCTTTAATTCATGAACAAAGGTTAGCTTGAGAAGAATGATTATGTTTATTGAATTTGATTTACGTAGTTGAATCTGATTGCTAGGGATAGGGGATGATTGTTCTTGTTTAACGTGCATATGTCGGGCTTTGATTTATTCATGCTTGTGTGAGTTGAATTGATTAGGAATTGATGAATTTGTGTTTCGATAGATTGATGTAATCGAAGAGTGACATTTCGATCTTGCTATTGGTGACAGTTGGATGTTAATTTGTCAAGCTAGGGTTTGTCAATTCTATATGATTAGTTGATTAAACACCTTCTAATTGACTTAGCGACTTTCAGAACCGAAAGGGGAGAAGTCGTAGAAATAGGCTCACATGAGATAGATGATTTCGTAATTGAATATTCTATAGGTTTTTGATTGAAATACGTGCGTGTCGATGACCCGTCCCTTGTTACGAGAGTTATTGGGATTGGGTTAGTTGATTTATCTTGTATACTCAAGCTTGTACGTCTATGTTCAATCCCTTGTTACGAAGAGTTATTGGGAGCGAACCGCTAGATGTCTAAGCGAGAGTAACAATCTCGAACCGAACGATTAATTGCCCGACTTTGCTAGAACTTGAATTAATTATCCCCGATTCCCTAGCTTCTCCATCTTTGTTTCATTCACATTTTTAGGTAGATTATGCTTTTTATTATTTCTTAGCTGATAATTATTCAAACCGGCCCGCTATCTGATTAGAATGTTTAGAATTTTATTTTCTTTTATGTGTAATCGACACCAGAGCTGAATTTCGAACCGCCTTCCTCGTGAGATCGACCCGGGGGACGAATCTTTCGATTCGGTACTCGGTAAAAAGAATAATTTTTACACAACAATTTCAAATTCGAAATCACGAAAATTTAAAAAAAGTAAGTCAAGTTTTTGGAAAGGTGTGATTTATAAAATACATGTCAAATTGACCAAAATCCTTCATTGCAGGAAGTTTATATCTAAAACACGTGTGCATTGGTGTTTTTAAAATTTGAAATCCATACAATATGATATACAACATATGTTGAAGTGGATATTTGATAGTTTAATTGAACAAAATCGTTAATTTAAGGAACGGCTGGAAAATCCGTCCATAAATGAGAGGAAAATCGGTCTTAATTTTTTTAAAAATATTTATATACAAAAAAAGTGCGCATTGGTGTTTTTGAATCTTGAAATACATACAATTTGATATACACCAGATTTTGAAGTCGATACTTTGAAATTTTAAGTTGAAGAAAATCCTTAATTTAAGGAATGGTGGGCAAATCCGTCCACAAAATTCGCAGTTTTAATGAGACACTCTCGGGCTCTCCACAAAATTCGCGAGCTCGCGGGCAGTGGTGTGCACGGGCGCGCGCGCGGGCGCACGGGCGAGGCGCGGGGATGTGCAGCACTCTCGAGCTCGCAGGCAGATCCACGAGGCGTGGGCATGGAAGGCGCGACACTCTCGAGCTTGC